TTCTGGATATTTTTACTGCTCTGAACTACCCACTTCTAATGGGTCGAATGGCCTATTTCCACACTGTAGGGATTCTATGATTCTAAAGCATACTTCCTTCATTTCCTGAGCCATTAAACTGATTATCCTGCAGCTAACTTGAACTCAAATATTCTTTTCACTTCTCTTTGAATTCTGGCCCGATTTCTTCATCTCTGCCTATAGTTACAGCCTTCCAAAATTACTTTCTTATTTGTTATTGTGTTTCCATCTGTTGTTCTTTCTCTGTCCCTTTTCCTTACTTTGCTTTTTCTAGTTTCGTGTGAATTTTCACAAGTTTAAGAATAATTTGCTTTTTTATATATGTGTGACTTCCATGTGTAAATGCTCTATAAATATAAATATATGATACTAACCCACAGTGTCAAGGAACACCACAAGGAAGATCTATATTGAGTTAACCAATTTAATTCGGGTGGCAATGAGAAGTTCTAATTGGCCTCAGTGTGCCTGGAGTTAGTGGAACATTAAAAGGATACAAAAGGGAAGTAAAACTGAATAGCAACATGTGGGATTAAGGAAATGATGGAATCAATTAACAAGGGACTATTTGTTAGGGTGTTATTAATGCAAAAGATCACAAAAATGGACTTTCGATGTAAAGTTAGAAATCTGACGTTGGCTTAATTCCTGGGTCATAACCTTGCCGAACACAACATCAGTGCAGTGAGGCTATTTTCAAACCAAGATTACGTAATTGGTTTGATTAAGTTTGACACCCAATCAGCAGTGCTGGGAACAGGCTGAAGGTGTGACATAGTAGCCAAGGCCCTTTGAAAAGCCGAGTGGGGACTATTGTTCCCACTCCCATTAATGTTTGAAAATCCAGATCATTCCATGGTGAAAAACTTGATTAATGGGAGTCTTTCTGTTATATTCTGTTAAACATATTAATTTTAATTATTATTAAACAAGTAGATTTGCGTTATACAGTAGATAACTATAAGGACCCTCCACAGATGGTAACTCAGTAATGGCAACTACATATCATGGTTACTCACCGCCAGTATAAAAGCACCTGAGTTGCTGTGGATGGCTCTGTGATTACTACATCAATATCGGCCTGCTCTACTTTGACACTTCTTGAAATAAAAGAGATACTTTTCTCAACATCTCCCAAGGCAACAGAATTGTAGCTTTAAACCATCAAACACCATTTGCAAATCGGTGACTTAACTTTAAACTGTAAAAATTACAATAGGTTGTAAGAAAATGTACTCGCAGCTGATGGACTAATTTTTTCTGTATGGTTTTAAAAATAACATCCAGATAGCATCCTTGTTTCCTTCGTGTAATTCCTGTACTTTATCTCCTGTACATGAATTCTAACTGCTCTCTGTCATAAAGAAATCTGGTCACTAGGTTAGCTGGAGTAAGGTTCCAAAAGATTTCACTTTTAACATTAATCTCTGCTCAGTCAAGATAATAGAAAGTCCATTATTTTACTGACTTTTCAAGGCAGGGACCAGTGAAGTCTGACTGTTGAAGATGGTTTGAGCAAAAGATTATATCTTGATCTTTAACATCTGAAAAAAAGCTGCTAAACAGAGCAAAGACATTTGAGGTCAGCTAGAAGAAACTGGCAAATGAATGGCTGGATTAATAGAGTAAAAAGCTGAGAGGTGGGTTTTGCATTGGCACCATTCATTAAGGAGGAGAACTAGTTCCAATAGAGCCTTTAACAGAGTGAAACATCACATGGTACTTTACAGGTGAATTATCAAACCAAATTAAACATTGGTCACTGAAGGAAATAACCAAAAACATGGTCAAAGAGATATGTTTTAAGAAATGTCTTGATGGAGGAGCAAGAGAATGACAGGAGAGAGTTTTAGGAGGAAATTACTCAGCATGGGGCCTAAGCTGCTATAGGTACAACCATAAATAGTAGATAAATTGAAGTCAGGGATGAGCTAGAGGTCATACTTGGAGGAGGATTGCTAGACTGCAGGAGGTTATAGAAATAGAGAGGGGCAAAGACATGGGAGGGGATGTGAAAATAAGGGTAAGAATTTTTAACTCAAAATGCTAACCAAGAAACCAAGTAAATAGATGAATGGAATTTGGAGCAAGATAAGGCACTGGCAGCAATATTTTAGATGACTAAATGGTTATGGACTTGAGAAGATGGGATGTTGGATGGGCGGACATTGGATTAATCAGTTCTTGAGATAACAAGGGTAAGGATGATGGCTTCAGCAAATGAGCTGAGGAAAGGGGAAATTCTAGTGACATTAGGAAGTGGGAACAAGTCTAAACAATGGCCTGGACAAGTGGTCAGAAATACTTCCCAGGATCAAATACGAGATGTAAGTTATGAACTTTCTGGTTTAGCTTCAAGCATTTCCAAGAGAGAAAGCTGGAATTGATTGATAACTAACACAGTTAATGACAGGGACTGAAGATGGCGACTTAGATCTTCTCGTTAGTTGGAGAAAATTTCTGCTTGTCCAGACTGTATGTCAAAAATGAGTCTGACAAATTAGAAAGAGCAGAGAGCTGAGAGAGGTGGTGCTGAATTAGAACTGGGTGTCATCAGAGTACAAATGGCAACTGATGCTGTGTTTTCAGATGATGGCATAATGCAAATGAAAAATAGTTGGGAGACAGCAGACGCAACAGTGCAAGAGCAAGAAGAAAACCATTGATGGTAATTCTCTAGTTATGACCGGATAGAAAAGAATGGAACCAGCTGAGTTCAGTCCCACCCTGCTGGACAGCAAACAAGTAAGTTTTAAAATTGTGTAAATTGAAGGTATTTACTATTAACCAGTATCAAAACATTAGCTTTCTCTCTCTCCATGGATGCTGTCTCTCACACTGTCATCTCCAGCATTTGTTGTTTTTATGTAATCACATTTGTCTTAATAAGACTGTCTACATGAAGCATTGTCTGACCAGTTTCTAAAACTAACTACAGTCTGGTTGCATCGAAGACCTGAACTTGCATTTGCTACATTGTAACCCAGGCTTAGACATTATAATAATTAAAAACAACCATCACCTTCCATATGTTGTGACTTGATCGAAATACGTTTTCTCAAGATGTTCATTCCTAATGTAATCACAAATTAAAATCTTAAATTTTTGAATAGGATTGTTGAAATGCCAGCTACGTTTTAAAAATGTGACTTATAAAATGTCAGATTTCAAGTGCAGAAAAAAGTACATTGCCTCTCAATGTTTTAGCCAAATAATTGTTAAATGAACCTGCCTAATGGTATCTTTCAGTGTGAAACCTTCCAGATGAAGGAACTATACTTAAAATTTAAATATGTCTCTTTTCAAGGTACTGACAGACAAATTGTGCATTTCCAGCACTTTCAATTAATGATTTGGGTTCAGTTATGACAAACTGTATTTGGGCAAGAACATCTTATTTCCTTCTTATCCCCAATACTTTAAAAATAATTTGTGACCTGTATTCCTAATTATTACTCACACACAAAGGGTTATAAAGTCTGGCTTCTGAAATGTCATACATAATTTCCACAATGGGAAAGGAGCAAGCAACCAATCTCTAGCTTTTAGGCAATTCACAAAGTCATCCCAGAATGATTCTACCTTATCTAATTTATGCTGCACCATCTGAGCATGACAAATAAAAATGATGCCATATGAGAAACTACAAATGCAAAATTGCGACATGACCAGTGTGTTGCAACAGCAACTGGAGTTAAGACACTCCGGTTATAAAGTTCATGTTTCATTATCTGTAGAGCTCTTCCCAATGGAAGAAATGCACTCTCATTTTGATTGGATAGTGCTTCATCTATGAAATTACTCGGTACAAGCAGTGAGTTGGAATTATTATATAAGACCACAGAAGGATTTGGACAAGTTAGGAGAGTGGGCAAAGAAGTGGTTGATGGAGTACAACGTGGGAAAGTGTGAGGTCATGCACTTTGGTAAGAAGAATAAAAGCATGGACTATTTTCTAAATGGGGAGAAAATGCAGAAGTCTGAAATGCAAAGAGACTTGGGAGTTCTAGTGCAGGATTCTCTCAAGGTATACTTGCAGGTTGAGTCAGTAGTCAGGAAGGCAAATGCAACTTTGGCATTTACTTAGAGAGGACTTGAATATAAAAGCAGGGATGTACTTCTGAGGATCAATAAGGCTCTGGTCAGGCCACATTTGGAATATTGTGTGCAGTTTTGGGCCCATATCTCAAGAAGGATGTATTGGCCCCTGAGTGGGCTCAGATGAGGTCCATGAGAATGGTCCCAGGAATGAAAAGCTTAACATATGAGGAATGATAGAGTTTAGAAGGATGAGGGAGGATCTAATTGAAACTTACAGAATACTGAATATGGCCTGAACAGAGTGAATGTTGGGAAGACGTTTCCATTGGTAGGAGATTCTGGAACCTGAGGGCACAGCCTTAGAGTAAAAGGAACACCTTTTAGATCAGAGATAAGGAGAAACTTCTTCAGCCAGGATGGTGAATCTATGGACTTCGCTGCCACAGAAAGCTGTGGAGGTCACATCATTGAGTACATTTAAGACAGATATAGATAGGTTCTTGATTGTCAAGGGGATTAAGGGTTACGGGGAGAAAGGAGAATGGAGTTGAGAAACTCATCAGCCATGATTGATTGGTGGAGCAGACTCGATGGGCTGAATGGCCTAACTTCTGCTCCTCTGTCTTATGGTCACATGAAACAGAACTACTCAAGTTCAAAATAAAAATTTTATGTGCCAGTCCTTTTAGATGTTTGTTTTTTAGTTCTCCTGTACAAACTGGCTACTTGGAATATTCTGTACAGTGACTATTCAGGCATAGATAAGTTTTCACTCAACCAAATAACAATGTCCTTGTTTTGAGTCTTTAAGAAGTTTCCATAATTCTTCACAACAATTTTTAGCTATCTTGTATTACAGAAATATCTTGAGCCATAAGTTAGGAATTCTGTGTATTGTCACAGTTGTAATCACAGATACTCAAAATATACAAGTGTAATTTCAATTCCATAATCTTTATTTGACAAAAATAAATATCTGAGGGATGTACAAATATTGTCTTGTTCTTTTATGGGTAAAAAAATCTGTACAATAATTACAGTATTTTACACATTTACAATTTTTACATAATACAAATATGCACAAGAACTTAAATGTTGAAAAAATTTTTCAACCAGTTATAATAATTGAAAACAGTGCATACAAAGGTATCACTTGCACAATAGTATATAATTTACAACTAATATTTGTAGCACTGCATTCTCCACTTCTGAAAAGGTTTTTTTCATTTATATTACAAATTATTTAGAACATCAGACCGTGCCACCCAACTGTGTGACTTAGAAATCTTAGTGTATGTCACTGAAGTTTTTCATCAAACCAAATGGTTGGGTAACCATACTTTAATATGCATATCTAGTTCTTTTTAGATGACTTGAAATACAGCAGTGCACAAAGAAACCATCTTCAACACCTGAGTGGGCGTCCTCCGATTGCACAGTCATCATAAGAGAAAGGTATCTGGGGAAATAATGAATTACACATTAGCAACAATATCAGTGACAAACATCTTTATACTGATACCTCAGATTATAGAAATAATTTATCAAGATGATGGTTTTTATTCTACAAGACATGTTTATGTAGAGGTGAACAATCAATTACTGTAAATCTAATCTTTAAGCATTTCAGTGGGTATAATAGTTTATTTCCAGCACACTCACCTCATGGTCAGGAGTTTCGGATTCCCATATCTTTTCTTCATCCCACATCATGCATAGAGCTGGATCTGTCACATGGATAAGTTCTGTCTGTATCCTCGAATTCTCTCTTCCCAAGGTCAGATGATACGGTGTACAGCCATTGTATGTGAGCACATTGGGGTCTGCTCCACACTGCAGCAAAAGTGACACCATTTCAGCATCCTGCTCCTCCACTGCAAGATGGAGAGCTGTCCGACCACTTGATGGCTCCTGTGCAGAAAACAAACCTTACAGTTACTACACACCATGAAAGTGAATGCCAGAAAATAATTGTTTAATTTGCCATCAATTGAGAGATTATCATTATTTAGGAAGTTAAAACGTTAATATACCTGAGCGTTAATATCAGCTCCAATCTGAATTAGATAGACCACCATCTTGTGAAGTCTGTTTTTGACTGCCAGCTGCAAACATGTAAGGCCTAAAATGGGAAAATGAAAAAGTCTCAGATATGTGCAATAATAAATATTCATTGTCCAATATATTATTATTAGTGATTTACATTACAGCTTTAATTTGCATATTTGTCTAAAAAGAGTAGCTAGTCACAACAGTGCAGCTACAGCAATTGCTTTTAAAGAAATTAGACGTTATATTTAATACTAATTTAACATTTTGAAAATGTATAATTTATTTTAAAGAATGGAATTCGTATTTGAACTGCACATATAAAAGGCAAATGTACCATTGTAATTCTTGCTGTCCAAAAGTTCTCGGGTATGGTGTCTCGTTAGGAAATCGCTGATGGTCTTCACGCACAAGAACAAATTCATCTCACAAGCGATGTGTAAAGCTGAGTTTCCATTAATGTCCCTCGGTCCCAGATCTCCTCCAACCCACAACAAAGCACGTAGCACATCAGGCTGCTGCGTGATCACTGCCAGATGCAAAGGAGTCTGAACAAAACAGAACAAAAGAATTCCAGTGGGAATACTGCAAGGTAAACCATGGAAACGCACAATACGAAGGAAAACTGCAACGTTATTTACGCTCCGCGCCAGTACCCACAGCATTTATTAATATGGTGGGGACTTTCCAATGCAAACAGGAACCACCTATTTAGCTGCTTCTGGCAGAACAATATATTCTCATAAGATCATAATTAATCTAGCACAGTCCCCAATTTATTAAATACAAAATAGTAATGTCAGCATTATGCATAAAACTTCTGTTAATATTAATATCATTCCCAAATATTTGTATTAATCAGTTGAAAATATTTACCTGTTTCAGGTTATTCTGACGGTGAAGGTACTGATCGCCAGACTGGGTATTGGCGAGGATTTGGGATACGATTTCATTGGCTGTATGGATGATCGCCAAATGCAGAAATCTAAAAGGAGGAAAATGTCATGTTAAAACTTGCTACACTGGGGAAACTCTGCACAGCAGCTCAGCACTAAAGACTGGAACTCTCCAGGATTGCGCAAGGTCGGGTTTTTTGGGTACTTTCCACAGTTAAATATTTATCAGACAACCACTAGCTGGCTGCCTGCCAGGGACTTTCCAGCGTCAAACAGGAACTGTACCGCCCAGCGCAGTTACTGCTAGAACATCATGTTCTCAAAAAGCCTTTCAGCAGATTCCATACCCTCAATAGAGATTAGTTTATTAAAAAACTTTAAATCAATTTTCATTTGAAAAATAATTACAATGAAACTTTTCTATTAAATATTATATTTGCATACTGGACATTGTCTTGACTCGACATTTTACTGGTAGGGTTCTGCAAATTTTCAGCGGTTGGTAAATTGCTGTTTTAGAGACGTTATTAGTTCTTCCAGCTTCACTTTCTCCAATCGGGGGGTTCTGGGACAACATGCATTGTTTAGTTTCTGTATACCCAACCACCACCCCCACCCCCCCCCCCCCCCCCCCCCCCCAAGACCCTTACTCTATTTAAATAAAGGCCTCCAAGTCACTTACGTATCTCCATCCTCCGAGATGAAATCTTTCCAATACTGGGTTGGCTCCGGTTTGTCGTCCAGGCTCAGCTCCTGGATCTCCCGTAGAACCTCCTCGTCCTTCTCATTCATTGAGCCGATGCCGCTGTCACACCGCTCCTCCCAAAGCGGAGCCTGTTTGCCGACTCCAGGGTGCAACGAGCCGCCCGAATAATCTAGTTTCCCATTGCCTTTGCTGCGATTATCCAAGCTGTCAGCACGGTTATTAAATATGGTAGGATCGGCCATGACTTTTGCACAGTAAGAAGTGTCCCAGTGAAGTAGACAAGCAAAAAAAAAACTCAACCCGAACAGGCAACAGATAAAAAACGCTGCTAAATTCACCAACTACTTCCTCTGTCACGTCTCAGAACTGTAAACGTTACTCTGCGCGACAACATTTATAAACTCCAGTTCGGGGCTTTTTCTGGGCGGAGTTTTTCATGTCTCCGCCTCCAAGCTCCAGTTGTCTTTTTGGCTGGGAAATTCCAAAGCAGTTTATGTGCTCAATTAGAAAAAGAACGCAGTGTACCGAATGGAACAAGGAGGGAAAATCCCTTAATGGGCCGCAATTCAAAAATACACAGGGCATCCCAGAAGGAAGAACTCAGCTACACATTAATTACATTTAAGGGTCCGTTCTCATAACTATTAGCGTGAAGTTTGTCTACGATGCAGATTATTCTGCATCATCTTTTTTTATTGGTTTACGTTTGCTGAAGCCCTTCCGGTTTCTTTTCTGTTGAATTTTGAAGTAGGTGGAAATTTCGGAAGCTGTGTGAAAATATTAAAGAAAGTCCCATTCGTTGCTGTATGTACTGTGTGCACGGGAACATCCCAGCCAAAAAGAAAATGGCAGGGGTGTGTGTGGTATTTGGCACTCAAGGTTATGCATTCTGTTAATCATCCCCAAATCAGTACCCTGGAAAGTTTACATGGGAGGGGGGAATTTAAGCGAGGGTGGATTTGAAACAAGATGACCTTTGATTTTCTATTTAATGAGTTTTAGGGTGAGGAGCAGGGGGAGTACATTAAAACGTTTGCACCAAGCCAATTCATTACCGTCTGGCAATTGCACAGCTCATGCTTTGCAAATTGCTAAATACGTGCAACATTCAGACGGTGGATTAAAATAACTTTTCATTAATTTTCTCAAAACAGGTTCCAATATTTTGCTCACTTAAACCTCCAGTGTAATACATCTAAGCAATTTAGACTATCAAAAGAAAACTTAGATTGCAATAATTTGCTTCCCAATTTCCAGTGTAATACATCTAAGCAATTTAGACTATCAAAAGAAAACTTAGATTGCAATAATTTGCTTCCTCACAATTTGTTCTTTCGGTAAATTTTATTTAATGTTGCCAAATAATTTTAGCAAATGCATTAAAACAGAAGCATGCAAATGGTTAAAGAGACAAAGTACCTTGTCATCAGTCTTTATTTTCTTATTGCCACAGCAAGGGGTATTACTCTATCAAAATACAGTTGAAGACCATGACAAACTCTTGTTTGTGTAGTAATATAAAATTTACAATCAATTTGAAATGCATCTCCCAAGAAATAAAAACTTTCCCATCATGAAATTTGCACAGTCTGTACTCAAAGAACATGCAAAGGGAAATACAAAACATAGTTCTTCAACAATTAAGATCAGACTAATGAAATGTTTGTTTTCAGCATTCCGTTCTAAAACTGTGAACATTTTGCTGCCTCCCAAATCATATCCGTCTTTCCCACAATTCCATTTTTGTGACTCTCTCATGTGCCCTGCTGCATCACAGAAACAGATTTTATCAAAGTCACAAATTACATTCTACATAATTATGACAGTGGTTCACTAATTCTCCTCAACATTTTCAATGTGATTGTGGCCTTTAACATGATTGTTATTGTTCAGTTGGCCAGAAGTGGTCTTGCTCTGTTCTAGTCTTACCAATCCAGTTGTAAGCAGCAAATCTGCTGCAGTGGCTTCCCTTCTTGTCAACCGATCTTTAGGTTGAAAGTCTTTGTCAGTCTCCCCTCCAATTTCCATTCACATTTCCTTACCAACATGAGCAGAAATTATGATGTCAGATTTCATAAGTATTCTGACAATACTCACCTCTACTTTCTCCAGGCTTTTATTATCTCTGTATTGTTAGACTGCTTGTTAAATGCCCAATCCTGGGTAAACTCAATTTCTCAAATTAAACGTTGGAAAGACTGAAGCGATTGATGTCTACTACCATAGAGTCATAGAACCGAACAGCTCGCCCATGCCAACCAAGTTTCTCAAACTAAACTAGTCCCATTTGCCTGAATTTGGCACATATCCTTCCAAAACTTTCCACATACCTGTCCAAATGTCTTTTAGATGTTGTAACTGTAGCTGCATCCACCACTTCCTCTGGCAGTTCATTCCACACACAAACCACCCTCTGTGAAAACTTTGCTCTTTGCGTCCCTTTTAAATCTTTCTCCTCTCACCTTAAAAATGTGCCACCTTAACGTGAACTCCCACCCCAGGAAAAGACCTTTGCTATTCACCTTATATATGCCCCTCATGATTTTGTAAATCTCTTTAAGGTCACCTCTCAACCTCCTATGCTCCAGTGAAAAAGCTCCCATTCTATCCAGCCTATCCTTATAATTCAAACCCTCCAGTCCCAGCATAGTGGTTCAGTAGTTAGCACTGCTGTCACCCGGATTCGATTCCATCCTGTCTGTGTGAAGTTTGCACATTCTCCCCCTTTCTGTGTGGGTTTCCTTCAGGTGCTCTGGTTTCCTCCCACAGTCCAAAGATGTGCAGGTTAGGTGGATTGGCCATGCTAAATTGCATAGTGTTCAAGGATGTGTAGCTTAGGTACAGGGGGGTGGGTCTGGGTGGAATGCTCCAAGGGTCAGTGTGGACTTGTTGGGTCGAAGGGCCTGTTTCTACACTGTAGGGATTCTATAATCTAAATATTTTCTGAACCCTCTCCAATTTAATAATAGCGTTCCTATAACAGAGCGACCAGCACAGACTCCATTCCCTATCATTTACTCTATCCCCTTTCCTGGTCTAAAGCTGAAACAGACTATTTGCATCTTTGCTTGACCCTAACCAGAGCTATCAAACCAAATCCTTTCAATCTCAAAGACCATTTTCTGCCATCTCTGGACCCTCTTTCATGCTGTTGTTGCCTCCTACTCATTTCCATTCCTCTCCTGATTGGGCTACAACTTCTATATTTCACACACTTGAGTTAATCCAAATTTGTATTCCCTATGCCTAAATCCCATTCACCTGCCACCCTGTTCCTGCTGACCTATATTGCCCCTTGGCCTATCAAAGCTTCAATCATACAATTTTCACCCATGTGTTCAAATTCCTCTATGGCCTCACCTTTATTCTCTAGCTGTGCAACTCCATAAGAGCTCCAAATATGGAACACAGAACACAGAACAGTACTACAAAGGAACAGGCCCTTTGGCCCACGATATTGTACCGAACATGACGCCAAATTAAACTAATCCCCTCAGCCCTTGGTCCCTATCCCTCCATCCCTTGCATGTTCATGTGCTTATCTAAAAGTCCCATAAATGTCCCTACTCCTGGCAGCATGTTCCAAACACCTACCACTCTCTGTGTAAAAAACTTGAACCTCACATTTCCTTTGAACTTTTTCCCTTTCACCTTAAATGCATGCTCCCTAGAATAGGACATTTCATCTCCAAGAAAAAGATTCTGACTATCAACCCTATGTACGCATTTCATAATTTTATAGACTTCCCTTCAGTGTCCCTTCAGTCTCACTGCTCCAGAGAAAACATCCCTACTTTTCCTAGGCTCTCCTTACAGCTTGTACCCTCAAATCCAGGCAGCATCCTGGTAAACCTCTTTGGCACCCTCTCCAAAACCTTCACATCCTTCCTGTAATGTGGCTATCAGAACTGAACACAATATTCTAAGTGCGGCCTAACCAAAGTCTTATAAAGCTGCAACATCACATCCTCACACTTGTACTAAATGCCCTGACCAATAAAGGCAAGCATGCCATACGCCTTATTTACTACCCTGTCCACTTGTGTGGTCACTACAAACCCCGTTGACGCTGGCCTCTTGCGTAACTCCCATTTCGTTCATCCCATCACTGATGCCTAGGTTTTCAGTCAACCAAGCACTAAACTTTGTAACTGCTTGAATGAGTGGTTAATGTAAATGTGTTCAAATCAGACCCTATTCCATATATTGTAATTTCCACCTTGTGCAACAAGATAATGCTCAATGCAGCTGAAATCAGGCACACCCATGCCAAAGATTGGGGAATTTTAAATATAGTAAATTGCACCCAAAATTACTGAGTTAATTTTTCTGTCATTTCTTCCACTGGTTTGGGATTCAATTCATTTGATTCAAGAGCCCACCTATGAAACTGGCCATGCTCTAATTATAATTGACAGATTCTGACAATTGCATTGATTGGAGAAAGTGCTTCAAATTATGTTCTGTTTCTTCAGTTCACAGACAGGAAACACAGGACGATTTTTTCTCATCAAAAATAAACCAAGTTGGAAACAGATTAGTGTACATCAGTGAAACTTTGAAAAGGTTCCATATTGTTTTAAGTTATCTTGTGTGGTTTTTAAACTAGTCACTCATTAAAAGTATCTATTTTTGGTAGTATACTGTTGGCTGGTAAAATTGCATCAGGTTGCTACTTGCAAATCAATTTAATATTAAACATGAGCAGTAACACAAGTGCAGTTTCACATGCATTTTGGATGCAATTTCCCAAACATGCATAATGTGGAAACCCAGGCATTTACATGAATGCAAGCAGAAATATGATGTACATAACGTCCTTGAATATTTTTGAATTGCGTGTGTTGCAATGTAGACTCCAGGCAACTGATTAGGACTACTTAGCAATGTGGGACATTCCATATCTGGGGAGGGGAAATGCTGACAAGGGTTTTCTTGCTACAGTTCTGCCTTCTGCTTGCAGCAACACTAATGAACAGAGGTTAGTCATCAAACAAGCCAGCCTTTAGACTGGCTGTTGGAGGGTTTTTGAGAGTAATATGAAAACTCATTTACCAAACATTCGATTAGCTCAAAGTCCAGATGGTGCCCTCTATTGGAACAGTATTTGTCTTTCACATCTTTATTATTTTTCTTGCTAAATCTTTTGTTTGTTACTCTCCTCAAGGTGCTAAATACTTTCTGAGGTACAAATCCATGGGAACTGGTTTTCCTCTAGCATTTACGCAAGAATTGATATTGACCTTAAATGTCAACTGCAGAGTGATAACATATAGACGCATACTCAGAGATGTACAGCGTGGAAACAGACCCTTCGGTCCAACTCATCCGTGCAAACCAGATATCCTAAATTAATCTAGTCCCATTTGCCAGCAATTGGCCCATATCCCTCTAAACCCTTCCT